TTTATAAAAATAAAATTTATAAAAGTTTAGGCGAAAAATGTTCCCACCAGATACCCCTGCGAAAGTGGGATTACATTGCTCCGCCCGCATGCCTTCATGTTTGGTTGCGGAAAACTTTTTCCGCTAAAATTTTTTAAATGTTTTTATAAAATTATTTATATATTTTTACATATCAATATCATAATAAAAAGAAAGTAAAATCAATATTTTAAATTTTTATTTTTATACACATAATTTTAAACTTGTAATTTTTTTTCATACTTTTTTAAGGAAAGAAAAAAGTTTTTTTTTCTAATTTTTCTTATTTAAAATTTACTTAATAATTTTTTTCTACTTTGTTTATATTAATTTCTTAATAAACACAAAAAATTAATCATTTAACAAAATTTTAATAAGATTTTATTACCAAATTTATCAATTTTTATATAATACTTATTAATTTTCTATAAAATATATTTTTAACTATTTTCTTAATAAAAACTAAAAAAAAAAATTAAAATTAGCCGCCAAACGAAAGAGGCCTTAGTGTTTGTTGCATTGATGGCTTTACTACTCATTATTGCCAGCCGCATTTTATGCCTGAATGGCATCTAAATCTCCAACTTCCAACCAGGTTTTAATCTCATACATTTACAACACAAAAAACAAAAAGTACACCTAACACGTTAATTAAAGTTACGATGCAAACAGCAACCTACCTCTCGCACGAGCAAAGCTTTGTTTTTTTTATAAGGACAATAATTAAAGTTTAATACGTTAAAAGTGTTAGTGAAGACTGAAGAGTATTAAACTTAAGATTTGAGAATGTAAATCATGAATTATTTTTTATACAGCAAGTGACTACTGAACCACGATACATAAAATGTGAGTAAAGCTTTCTTTGAACTAACAAAAATATGGTAATAATCTGAAGCTCATCGCATGAAAAGGCTTTAAAAATTCAGGCTACCGCAAAGGCACGGCGGAAGAAGAATCTTATTAGAACAACCGAGCGCGCTTAATCATATTGTTATTTTTTTGCTTTCACTTTTATTTTTTATATTTAAATATTTAAAAAATCAATGTAATTCATATTGTATCAAACTGCATTATATTAATTATTGAATGAAAATAAACCCCTTAATATTAAGGATCATCCTCCATTCAATTGTCTCTATTTTGTAATTTAGAGTAATTTAAAATGTAAAATAAAATTCCTATTAAATAAATAAATATATATAACAAAAAAAATCCTATAAAATAAACTGTATGTTAAAAATATAATTTATTTTATTAAAAACATTTAAGTAAACTCATAGGGTAGACTATACTTTTAATATATAGACAACTCTAACAAACTTAAATCTCTAAATATAAATATTAAAATCAAAAAATGAAAAAA